GGGGGGTCGGAGGCTGCGGTAGACGTAGAGAGGAGGAGGAGGCTGGAGAGAAGGAGAAGACGGAGAAGAAGGTGGTGGCAGAGTGCTGAAGGCGGCGTGCTGGAGGCGATGGAGGCAGCGGAAGCGGTGAGGGAGGTGGAGGTGACGTTGGAGGCGAGGGCGGAGGCGAGGGCGGAGGCGCGGGCGGCGGCTAGGGCGGCGGCTAGGGCGGAGGCGGAGGAGGACGCGGCTGCGGATCCGAGTGTGGAGGCGGAGGAGAAGGAAGGTGGAGGAGGCGTGATAGGAGGGGCGGCGGAGCGCGGTAGAGGCGGCGGCGTCCGCCGTCGAGGCCGCGGCCGCGCGGCGCGCCGCTCTCTTTCCGCCGTCGGAGGAAAGAAAAATGGCGCGTTTCTCGCGGGCCTCCCCTTGACCTTTGATCCGCGCGCCGCACTTAGCGGCGCGCCGGAATGCACAAACAGGATCGGCGCGCGCCTGCGGCCACGCCGTCGCCTCCGCGTCCGCGTCCGGCGCGGTTCGTGGGATTGCGCGCGTCACCAGCCGACACCAGCCACGGGCAGGCCGTGATTGCCTCACGTGGCTGCTCCCACCTGAGCGATCTCTTCCGCCACGTTGCCGCCATATCCGCTAGCGGTCTGTGTTTCTGACCGGTCTGACGTACCAGCTCCGTGAATTGCGACTTCCTCTGAGTGAAATCTCATTATTTCCACTGCGTTGTCGTGCCTCTCCGCTTGGTCACCATCGACCTTGCCTTTGTAAAATCTGTTTCAAACACCGCGATGTTTGTGATAATAGGTTTGTCGTGCTTCCTGTATTTCAGCTTGACATCAAATATTCTCCGTGCGTTTACTGTAGTATCTCGTGCAAATTAGAATCAAAGCTGAGAAATATCATTGAATCGTCTGTTTTGAACTCATCCATAGTCACGAGAAACTGATTTTTTGCTCTTAATAATCATCAATTCGTAGAAATAATGTGTTCTTCATTGGTAGGAATTACAAAGAACTTTTCAATTGGTCTATCATATTAATGATGGATTAATAATTTATAAACAAATTGGAAATAATGTTACTGTGAAAAATGGCAATCACACACCTACCACATATTATGAAGAAAAACATTCTGCAAACATTGTGAAACTCGGACCAAAATTGCGACTGTAATCAAAGTGTTTGGAATACTACCAACTGATGTGATTGATCTCCGATTGAAATCGAGAGAAAATGAGTTATTTGTCTTTGACTTTGTCTTCAACTTGTCTGCCCCGTAGCATAACCTCATTTCGGGGAAATCTCCTTGTGCTAATGTTTAGAGTGCGACCTAGGGAGCGTTACTCGGGTGGGCGCTGAGGTAACCGGCGACACGACCCGGAAAGTACCTACACCGTGATGAAGCAGCGCGAGGCCGATGGTTTTGCGGGCCCCAGGCGGTCGCCTTGTTTGCGTGGGTGTAAGTTGGTCCTTGGCCTCGCCGCAACCTCCGCCTCTGCCCCCTCCCCTCACACCGCCGCGCCGCGAAGTGGACTGAAACAAGCGAAAATCGAGATTTGGAAGAAAAACAAAACCCGAGTTAATGACGAAACCAGTATATATTTATTCTTTTCAGTTGTTGATTTGACAGCTTTACTCCGTCTTTTGATATCGTATTTCATAAGAGAAGGCACATAAATCCCAGCATTAAAATAATTTTAAAAATACGAATATTCATATAATATAAATGGAAAAACATGATTTTAAGGGTTTATTATTTTATCACTAGAAATAACATAATTTGGAACGCTTTTCGAGAAACTGTTTTTTATAAGTTGCATTAATTTCAAGGAGAGATTACAAAAATAGTTACTTGGTTTTTCAGAAAAAATTACGTTACCTGTATTAAAGAGTTCATTTTTTAGAAGAGATTTTATTTAGGGAAAATTCTCTATCTTCAGTTTTGAAATGTTAATTTTGGCAATTTTCGAAAGCCCACAGAGTTTGCCGGAAACTAATCAAGATCCACGTCATTTTCCGTCTTTTGATAGATATGAGGAACAAATTTAAAGAAAATTATTATAGCTATTTTTGAGGAAAAAATGTTTAAAAGTATTGGTTTTCTGACCTCAGTTAACAGGCACTAAAACATATTTAACAATTTATTTCTTGACGTTTCGACCCTAGTTGGGGTCCTTTTCAAAATTTTATTCCCCAGGCTTGTTGAAAACACTTCATAAAAAAATAAGTGTCATACTAGTTGACCAGAGGATGTTCGAAACGGTTCACACTTGACCAGTGTTTTATAAATAGACAATGTTTTATTAAAATGCTAACTTATTTTTATGACGTGTTTTCAACAGATCTGGACAATAGAATTATGAAAAAGACCCCAACAATGGGCGAAATGATCACTAATGACCTAGATGTTGATGCGACCTTAACTAACAACAAAAACAGTCGAAACATCAAGAAATAAATTTCAAAAAATATTTTAGTATCTGTTTATTGACTGTTAATAAACGGCCTTTTAATTGCCATTTTATTAACTGTTACAGTCTGTTTACTAACTGTTAACTGTCAGAAAACCAATACAATCAAATAAAGAAGGTGGGAGACGAAAATATATTCCTTAAAATGTTTGAAGATTTGAAAATTGCCTCGTATGAAGTAAGTGCCAGAAAGCAAAAGTAGTACGTGAGCCCATTCCAGCCTCGGTGCGCGTGACCCTTCGCAGCCACGGAATAACGGCTCCGTGCGGCAGCGGCCGAGCGAGCGCGTTGAAATCACTCGGAGACTTTTGGTTCGCTCGATAATTCCACACAATTAACGTCGTCGCGGCAGCGCGTGGCTCCGGGTTGGAAGCGAGAACGGAGGCGGCCACTTGCCGAGGCGAAACAGCTGGTACAAACATTCTGTGATATTTGATACAGATTAGAGCCCGTAGGTGTAAGTTGGGCGTCGCTCGTGAGAGTTTGATGTGGTATCGCGATTTTAATTGAAATTCGTGAGGTTTAACTCCTAGTTAATACGTGGTCATGAATGTGTTGAAAGTGATAAAATACTAAGGTACTATGTTACTTGATTTATCATGTATCGTTTTTGTTCATCAGATTATTCAAAAGTAAATATAAAGAGAGGAAATATTTTTAAAGCAAAGTCAATTGCGTATGGAAATTGCTTTGACTGTTTCGTTAAATGAATAAAAACAATATCAAAAGATATGTATTATTTACGTTAGAATTTATAAAATAATATTCTTTATTGATTTCCAAGTAGCAGGCAGTATTCAATGTTTTCAGTGAATTGAAATAATCTTTGACTGGCATTTAATAATTGAATCGTTTATCATAAATCTAGATGTATAAGTGAATTCTGATTTTTTTAAAATCGTGATCTGTAAATTAAACTGTTCGATGGTAGAGTTCGGTAATTTTTTCTAATTATGCCAGGAAAGTGTTCATTATTTTGAATAATTAACCTTCTCTTACAACGTCAGATTTGATTTCGGTCCAAGTTTTAGAACACACTTTAAAGCCTAAAATCTGTATACCTGTCATAACAGGCATACTTTCCTCAGAAACACGCCGAAGCAATTAGCACTAAAATGTAATATATCTTTAAAATATAATAGTCGCCATTCACGTCTGATAAATGGCGTTTTTCCAAGGTGCTTTAAGGCCCATTAAGGTGCGTAAATCAGGCGTCATTTTCTTTGTAGAGCGGCGTGTTTACCGGCGTCGGCGGCACGGCGGAGTCGGTTTACTCCGAACGCATGCCCTACTTCCAGAAACGCCTCGCGACGGCAGAGCTATCGCCGCGCAGAACTTCTGCTCTCGTAACAGCCGTTATCATGTGGAAAGACGCGACGGCCGGCAGCTCTAAAACGTTCACGGTCGATCGCTCCGCGCGGAGCGCCGCATGTCGTGAGAGGGGGAGCGGTGGGAGGTGTGGTGGGGGAAGAAGAAGATTCCGGGATCTACTGAAACAAGGGACCGACGAGGATTAGCTCTGACCAGGGCGGTGTTTTCAGTGCTCTTGGCGCGCTAGCTTTTATCCCGGTGGGTTGTGCGTGGCGGTGGGACAAGAGGGCGTGTCCCCCTGGATGCGCTAGTACTGGCGTCGCGTTTGGGGATGATAATAGATGCTGAGCATCACCACGGAGAATATTAATCAAAGAACCCTAAATATTGTATTAATAATCCTGCAAGTAAGCGAAACACGTTTTGTATTAATTTTAAAAGTGATTTTTCCTATGATTGAATTCGGCGCGTTGTTACAAGCTGTGTCAGAGATTCCCGAGTGTCTTACGCTAGCATACGACTGGGAAAAAAAGAGGCTTGCGAGCAAGTTGCTCGTTTGTGCACGAGAGCGCAGCACGCTTGAGACTGTCAGTGAAATATGTTTCTTATTCACTCGTGATTTTCTGCTTGGACATTGCTCAGACAGGAGAAATAGTGCTTGTCTACTAATTCTTAATTAATATGTAAGAAGTTTTTTGGTCTGAAATGTATAAATTCATAAGCAATCTCATTGCCAATCGCGCGTGAGAATTAAAGCTGAGCCATTGTGTAATTTGCCTTCAAGAATTGTCCTGAGAAATCTGTTGAAGTATTGCAACATTTGTTTCGATAACACAGATTCTAGAGAACAGTAAAGATCATGAAGATCATGAAGTCTTCAGTTCGCTTTATTGTTGAGAATCCTTAATCACGGGAGTCACGTTACGTCCTTGTACGTTAGTTCCGACAGTCGACGAGGTACGAGAGAGACATTCCGAATTTCCGTTCTCCAAGATCCGATCACAAGCTTATAGAGGCGGGGAGCGGATTTCAGCAAACGCCATGAGAATTTTGCGATTTTCGCAAGCAAACGAGCTGGTATTTCATAGCTACTTATTAACTTATTAA